GTGAGGTTCTCCACTCGGTCCGCAGCGACGTTGGCGTGCTCCTTTACCGCTTGGGGGAAAGACTTACAAAAAGAAGAAGAAAAGAAAAGAAATTGGAGGGGGGGGGGGGGGGGGGGAGAAGAAGAAGAAGAAGAAGACACCGAGTTCTCTTTGGGGAGGGGAGGCACCTGGCGAGGAAGAGGAGGAGGAGGAAGAGGAGGGGGACGTGTGGGCAGGCCCCATAACTGAGCCCCGCAACTCCGGCACAGCCCCTCGCAAGGGAGGAACGGATGAAGCCCACATGAAAGGGAAAGGGCTGCCACACACACACACACACACCCTGGGCTCAGCAACAAAGGCAGAGGAGCCCAAGGCGAAGGCGGCCTCCCCTGCCTCAGCCGAGGCGCCCGCCCGTCACTCCCCACCCCACGCCGTCAAGGGAGGAAGGCGAGGAGAGCCGGTGGAAGCGCTCCCTCCGACTCACCGCGTCCTCAGCCGCACCATGAGCGGAGGAGAGCGAAGGGACTGGGGGTGCTCCCGCCGCCGCCGTCGTCGTCCCACTCGCAGGGGCCCGCCAGGCTGGGGAAGGGGGCGCGGCCCGGCCCTCCCGACTGGCTTCTCCTTTCCCTTTCGGCGCCTCGTCGTCGTCGTCGCGGCGGCGGCGGCTGCTGCTTCGCCTGCCCTGAAGAGACGTGGCAAGGAGGGCTGATGCGCTCATCACGCCGCGACGACGACGACGAGGTGGTGGCGGCAGCAGCCGCTCCTGCCGCGGCCGAGGGAAAGCCCAACCCGCGAAGGGAAACGTGGAGCGGCGCGGCGTGGCCTGGCGGCCATCTTGGGAGTGGCAGAAGCGGCGAAGTTCCACGCCACTCACTCATTCACTCTCACACACACAGAGGTGAACAGGCACGCAGCAATGTGGATAAATAAACTTGTAGACTTGGACCAGGTGACATTGCCTGTAATTATTGCAACAGTGAAAAGACTCATACAATACCTTAATATTCAGAGGAATGTTGAAATGATTGTGGATAACTGTTTGGTTTCATTCTGGAGTTAACCCATTTTTGGGATAATGCCAGCTGTGACAAACACAGGCTTCTGATCCCCCCAATCCACACAGACACACGCACACACACACACACACACACACGAGGTAAACAGGCACGCAGGAGCCGAGAGGCTTGCTTCATTGAGGGGAAAAAGGAGAGCTGCTTTTTGGCTATCGGGTTTCGCCTGCAGCAGGAGACTTCCACGACACACGTGTCCGAGGCATGGACTCCTCGTGCGTTGTCGCGTGTCCTGAAAAATAGAAGTGTGGCACCCCTCTGATCGTGGGCCGTAGGTATGTATGTATGATTGTCTTTCAGTGGTGTTAACTGCCGTTTAACTACTCATCGTTTTAGACTTTAAATACAGTATTGTGTTTCCTTGTTGTAAGCCACCTTGGGACTAAATACAGTATTGTCTTTCATTGTTGTAAGCCGCCTTAGGTCCTGTTCAAGAAGAAAGGTGGGGTAAAAAATATTTAAAATAAATAATATGTATATGGAGGGAGAGCAGTCCAGCCCCAAGTTAGGGAGATGTCTAGTACAAAGAGTACACACACGGTGACAATTTTAGTTAGAAGATCTCCCTACCTCACTTATCCGTGAGTAAAATTATTGTCTTTCATTGTTGTAAGCCGCCTTAGGTCCTGTTCAAGAAGAAAGGTGGGGTAAAAAATATTTAAAATAAATAATATGTATATGGAGGGAGAGCAGTCCAGCCCCAAGTTAGGGAGATGTCTAGTACAAAGAGTACACACACGGTGACAATTTTAGTTAGAAGATCTCCCTACCTCACTTATCCGTGAGTAAAATTGTAAATTAAGTTGCTAGTTCTAAATACTGCTCCAAGCCCTCTGTCTGAAGCATCTGTTTGCAAAGGGAATGACAATTTAAAATCTGGCGCATAACGTACAGAGTAAGAACACAACTGCTCCTTCAATGTAGAGAAGACTTTTTCTTCTTGCATACCCCAATGTATCTGATTACTATTCTTCTTCCATGTCAGATCCGTTAAGGGTGCCGCTATATCAGAAAACCCAGGGATAAATTGTCTAAGTATCTGGCTAAGCCCAAAAATCTTTGAACCTCCTTCATTGTATGGGGATGTGGCCACAAAGACATCTTGTCTATCCCAAAAATCTTTGAACCTCCTTCATTGTACAGTACTGGGACTTGGCCACAAAGAGATCTTGTCTACTTTTTCTTCTTGAGGTGCCATTTTTCCTTGTCCCACCACAAATCCCAAATAATTTACTTTAGACTGGGCAACTCTGCACTTCTTTGGGCTTACAGTTAATGATGCCCTCTTTAGCTCTTGTAATACTGCTCTAAGATGGGTTATATGTTCCTTCAACATGGAACTGAACACGTCATGTATACATGTATATATGCTGCGGCATATCCCTTTACCGGCTCCAGTATGGTGTTCATCAACCTCTGGAATGTTGCAGCTGCCCCGTGTAATTCAAATGGCATGTGTGTGAATTGGAATAAATCTCTGGGTGTGGTGAAGGCTGTCTTTTAGCTTCTTCTCTCAAAGGAATCTGCCAATACCCTTTTGTTAAATCTAATTACAGTATGTCAAAAAATTGCCCCCCACCCATCTATCTCTGGGTGTGGTGAAGGCTGTCTTTTATCTTCTTCTCTCAAAGGAATCTGCCAATAGCCTTTCGTTAAATCTAATTACAGTATGTCAAAATATTGGCCCCCACCCATCTTTTCTAGCAATCTTCCACTTTAGGCATAGGGTATGCATTGATGAGGGTACAGTATACGTCATCTAAAAGTGAGATTACAGTTAGATGAGGAACAACAAAAAGAGTTGAGAGACTTAGGGTTAGAATTTAAAGGAGTGTTTTCTGCTATCCCGGGACATACAAAGAGTTGAACACCAAATCTGTACTCCTCCAGGAGTAGTGGTAAGATCTTCCAGCAGGACATGGCCCCATCACTTCAGAAAGGTGATTAACGAGGAGGTAAAAGAAATGCTAAAATTAGGAGTGATTGAACCGTCCTCCACCCCTGGCGGAGTCACCCAGTGTTAGTGCCCAAACTGGATGGGAGTACTAACACGCGTGCCAGAGCTGGCATGCAGATCCTTTTATGCGGGCTCACAAGCCATAAGTTGCTGGATTGCTACTCTGCCCCCCCCCAGCCAAACCTGAGAAGGCGGCTGCAGCCATGGTGCTGGGGCTTCAACAGGCAGCTCTGGAGCAGCTGGTGTTAGATCCGGAGTGGGGTCTCAAGGCACCTCCGTGCCCGGGATTCCCCCTTCCACTGCCATGTCCCATGCCACCACGGCACATCGCCCACTGAGGTGTTTTTTTTTCCCAGTTTGGGCACTCAGGCCTCAAAAGGTTAGCTGCCACTGAGCTAGGAGTTTCATTAACCATTACAGAGCTTCACTGTAAGATTGGCTGGGGAAAGCGTTTAGCATGTTAAGCAAGTAACTTCAGAGGCTGAAACTGACAGAGAAAATCGTATATTGAAGTGTTGGCCACAAAAGGCATATTTGGCTCTTGGCTCCTTTGAGAAGTTTTAAAGTTGCCTTTCCCAAATTGACACTTTCCAGATGAGTACAAATCCTAGAATCCAACTACTTGCAGCAGATAGTGGAATATATCTTTTAACACTTCTAGAAAATGCTAAGTACATCTCTTTACACCCCTCACCTAGGACCTTGGTGAAAAAGCACTGCTATATATGCAACGGTGCTGTAGTTCCTCTGTTCCATTTGCTGCCCCATCCAGTAACGTGGACCTTTTTCCTTGACAATGATACTACTATATCTTTGTGACTCAAGTGAGCCCTTAATGGAGTGGTTCAGAGAAGATTTCTAACAGCTAATAAGCATATCTAGATACCATTTTTAATGCTGCTGCTGTTTATGTTGGTAGCCAAAACAGAATGAAAGAGAGCAGCGTTTGAGATGTAACGAATAGCAGGTCCCCATGAGCCAGTGTGACATAGTGGTTACTGCAATTCCTAGTATTGATGTAGTGGATAGAATGAGGGACTAGGACTCTGAAGAACAGGGTTGAAATCCCCACTTGGCCATGGAAATTCACTGGGGAAGTGGAACTAATAAAACCACTCCTTAAATATCTGAGCTGCTCAATAACTCAGTGGTTTACGTCTCTGGCTGTGGAGCCAGAGGTTGGAAGTTCAGTTCCTCACTGTGCTTCCTTGACACAGACTGGACTTGATGATCCATAGGGTCCCTTCCAGCACTGCAGTTCAAAGGTTATTAGAAAAAGTGAAGGACTATAACTCAGAGGGCTTGTGTTCAAATCCCTACTTTAGACCAGTCGTGCTATCTTATCTAAAATTAACAGGCTTCTTGAGAGGATAAAATGGGCAGAGGAGAGGCTTGAGTTCACTAGAAGAAATGTGGGATATAAATGCAAGTAAAAAAAATCAAGAAAGGATCATTTGAGATAACTGCCTGATGTTTTAGAACTTGCAATACAGTGGTTTCAGGTAACTTTTTCTAAAATTCCATTTAGTTTCACTACTGTGGAATTGGATGAAACCTCTGATCAAACCTAAATAGACTCAACACTAAGGCTGCCATGCTATCCAGTAGGATTTATTTCATTATGAACATACATAGGATTATCCATTGGTAGGTTACTTATTGTTACCTTGAAGCAGCCAACTTTGATAGAGATGTTCACAAAACAAAGATACTGATGGCAGATTTTCTCACAGAAGCTTAAGGGAATTTTAATGGAAATAGTGCTATGGAAACAATATGTCATAAGAAAGGGAAGAACAGACTCCAAAACAAAAAAAATCATATAGGCATAGAATACCCTGGTTCTTTGTTCACTTCGAATTCATCTATGGCTGCGGTAGTAGTCTAATCAAATTGGCTTAAAAGACTGAAGTAGCTTTCTGATTGTTTGACAGTACTGTTTGAAGTATATTCATCCACGGTAAATGAAAATAACCCAGAAGCTTTGCTGAAAATACACTTGCAGTCCCATTACATTCAGAGCTCAATCTACAACCACAATTAATGTAAACAAAGGTTGTACTTTGTTGTCTGAATAACACTTTCTAAGTGTTTGGGGAATATTCTTGTCTCAAACATTTTTTTTGTTCTGGAATGCACAGGGTTCTGTGCAGCTTAAATTAGTTCCCCTGTTCCTTTCCATGGCAGAAATGACTGTGTGCACAACACACATTTATAGATAACTACAGCATCCATGATACTTCTAGAAAACTGAAATGTTAGTCTTTTAGAAGTTGGGAGAGCTCTTCATACTCATAGACAAATATTCAAATCCAGTGATTTCTTGTATGTGTAGTACCTCACAACACAGGGCATTCCTCTTTCTGTTCAACTAAGGAGATCCCCAGTCTATTCAAAAAGCTGTTCCCCCTATACATAAATACAGCAACGCTTAAGTTAAATGCAATGTCTGTTCTTTACAGAAAACAAAAGCCCATGAGGTTTTTTAAAGCATGTATTCATTGCTGTTGTACAGTTTCTTGGTTCCCGAGAGCATTTTGTGCAAATGAAAACTGATTTCCAAATGTTTACAAAAATAAAAAGACTGAAATGCACTTGCAAGCTGAAGATTTCTTTTTAAAGGCTTATTTATATAGGACATATGTAGTTTTGGCCATTTTAAAAACAGGTTCACAAATGCAATACAGAACAACTGTAATGAAAAGTAATTCTGGCCTTTTTCTTACTTCATACTGTTGAAAAAACTGCAATAATTTTTATATCAAAACAATCCATTTGATAAGTATAAATAACCTAGTTAATTTTTCTTGATCCAAGTTGCCAAGCTCCAGTCAAATAGCGTAGTCTTATAAAGAGAAGGTCCCGGCCCATCTGCAACCAGCTCCAGAAAGGAACCAATTTAGAACCTGTGTTTATTTAAGAAGAACAAGGAAAAAACAAAGTTATGTATAGTACAACTAGTAGTATGGATTTGTCCATGCACATTCAGGGGCCAGATCTGTCATATTGCTGGAACCTTTCACAGATGGGCCCATGGTTTATGTGCCTCAAATTTATAAGAGGGACTTATTCTACAAATGTGGATATACTTTACTGTTTGAAATAAAACTGATTTTATTATTGTGTGAACGTGTATACCTGCCTTTCCATACATAATGCTGGAGGGGACAAGAATTTGCAACATTGATGCTCGGTAACTTACTGAGATAATTTAGGGTTTACAATCACCTTCCAGCAATCACAGAGAGGAAAGCTTACTGCCATGCTAAAGAGAGAAGAGATCACACTTCCCTCTTCTTGCTAATAAGAGCAGAAACTTAGGGAACACCTGCCTCCTTGAAGCGCACCTTTTCTGAACAATAAAGGGAGGCAGGAATGCTTTTCATCTTCCACAGCAGCCAAATCCCTACGTAGGCCTAGGAAACAGATTTGTGAGGAAAATGAAGTCTAGTGATTATGAGTGTGACAACACAGTGAGGGATGAATTCACTCGCATTCATTCGCTGTGAGATCGTACTGAGGAATTCAGGTTTCTGGGGTCTCTCTGCATTGACTGGCCACACAGGGAGAAAAAGTCTTGTTTTCAATAGCCCAGCTGGTGGCACTGTTAAAAAGGAACTGCTAACAAGCTGTTATCCAGGTTTCCTCATCTTGTTAAGCTGTTAAAAAAAAGATTTGAGGGGGAAGGTATGTGTGGGCACATGGCTCATCCTCACAAGGGAAGAGGTGACGAGGAAGGGGTGCACGTGCAAGCAGCTCATCTTCATTCACAAGGCAAGAGATGAGGGGAAAGGTGTGTGGCTTGTCCTCCCTCACAAGGTAAGAGATGAGGAGGAATGTGTGTGTGAGAGAGTGTGCACGTACACAGCTTGTCCTCCCTTTTGTGCATCAGTTCAGTAGTCACATGCCTGACCTAATGCAAATGGATGATTTTTTTTTTTAGTAGAAGCCCCAGCAGTGGAGGGAAAAAATTACAGACTGGGGGAAGAACTCTGGTCTGATTTGCATTTCTCTTTGCATCATGTGATCAATGGGGAAATACAATTCAGCCCATTCCAAACCTATAGCTGTATGTGGTATGTATTGGCAAGGAAGGATAACTCTTGCTAGGAGGAGACAGCCTGTAAAAGGAGCACTAGATTGACAGGCTAGTTTCACTTTTTTAATTATACGAAATGGTTTTGTGGAGAGAATATTTAACTTGACATTAGTGAGGAAATGGAAGAAGAATTTGAGATACCTAGCCAATAGTTCTCCAAAATGATCCCTGTTGATGAAAACGTGTTAAGATGAACAACTGACCTTCAATTTCTGTCCAGTTGACAGCAACCTCTGCTATTGGTATTTTAAAGCACTGAGCTATATAAAGTAGTTCCACATCAAATGCCCTGCAATAAAACACAAATAATCATTACTTTGCTGAAGTTACATCACATTTTCTGCTTATACTTTTAATACTAAAGTTCTTTTGATCATACCAACATTTGGCATAAACATGGTGAAAGTATATATGTTACAGATCACTACTTTCTTACTGAGGAACTGATATAAAATTAGACTTTATTGTTCTTTCTGCACTGAAAGGAACAATGTTCATATATATTCCCTCTGCCTCTCCATCTCTCTCTTAATTTTAAGATCCATTTTTCTTTCTGCTTGCCCACCCTCAATTAATTCAATATGATATAACCTCTTTTTCTTTGTTAAAAACAACCCTCCAAAATGCATTTTCTATGAAGTTTAAGGTTAACACATTAGTTTTCATCCCATTGTAAACAAGCCTGCATCATTTACCTGTTGTTACCCTTTGCCTCTAGCATTCTCTCTCTCTGCTGGCCTTTGTCATCTCTTTTGCTCTAACTGAAGATTAGATGGTAAGCTCCTTTGGGGAGGAACTTTTTTTTGTTACTCTACTGGACACCATAGCATTATATAAACATTATCGGAATGAACAGCACTGGATACTGCCTGAAAAACTTTTTTTAAGAATAAGAAAACAAGAAGCACCAGTGTCCCAAAACCTTTCCACGAGCCTGCAAAGAATGTCTGGATCCCAGACATGTTTATTTATATATTTGCATGCACAACTGCATAGCCGTTTGAACCTGTAGATGTTACTGGTTCCAATGCTATTTCCAACAAATCAAAATAACTTAAAATTGAGGAAGATCAGAGCTTGAAAATAATATGTTAATTGATTTATGAGCCTATTTAGTTAAATTTTTGAGCTACAAATTTAAAATTAATTATTTTGCTCTTTAAATATCAATACTACTACAGTGGTGCCTCGCATAACGAGCACTCCATGTAACGACAAATCCGCATATCGATGCGGATTTTGTGATCGCAAAAGCGATCGCATTGCGATGGTTTATATGGCTAAATATCGCACTGCGATGATCGGTAAGCGTTTTGCTTACCGATCGTCGCACTGCGATGTTTTACAAACAACTGATCGGCGGTTCCAAAATGGGCGCCGGAAGAAAAAAATGGCTGCCCGCAGCATTTTCGCGCCCTTTCCCTTGCATACCGGGCGGCGAAAATGGCGGCCGTATGGAGGATTTCCGCATAGCGGTGAGTTTATCCCCCATAGGAACGCATTAAACGGGGTTTAATGCGTTCCTACGGGGTTTTCCGTTCCGTATAGCGACAATTCCGGATAGCGATGATTTATCCAGAATGGATTATTGTCGCTATGCAGGGCACAACTGTACTTAAACATTTCTTATTGTATTCTCAAAGGCTGTCATGGCTGGGATCTGATGGTTGTTGTGGGTTTTCTGGGTTGTTTGGCTGTGTTCTGACGGTTGCTCTTCCTAACGTTTCGCCAGTCTCTATGGCTGGCATCTTCAGAGGACAGGAATCAGAACTCTGTCTGTGCTCTGGTGCAATTTTGTTAGCTGTGTATTTATAGCTGTGGGATCAGCTTTTGTCCTTTTCAGGAGATTGGGTGATTATGGTAATCAGTGTGTTTTTTGTTGTGGGTGTATTGTTGTGATAAGGGGGAGAGACGATCTGTCACTGTGATGGGTGTCATTAACTGGTCTTTTGTGTGCAGTCCTTGTGGCTGGGGAGAGTTCATTTTGTAGGCTGTGTTTTTCAGTGCTGGGAACAAGGATTTGTTGAGTTTTAAACTTCCTTCTTTTTTGTTGAACCTCAAAACTAACCTATACATTATATGTCCTAAATGTCTGAAGCAACAAATTAGCCTTCCTTGGCAAATTAAAGTTAGGATCCTAGTACTATTGCTAATATTCCAAAATTCTGAATTTTATACTTACCAGCGTTCTATATGAAGAGCTGAAAAAGTTCGAGAAGCAGCCTCTCTGGTTAATAATTTGAAACCACACTGAGTGTCTCTGATCTCCTTAACACAAAGGAACCACACTAGAAAGTGGAATCCATACATGAGAAGTGTTCGCAAGTATGACCGCTGCAGATAAAAAGCATAATATTAATTGCTTCTATTAAAGGATAGATGTGTCCACACTGATGATCTTTACCAACACTGTCTCGATTTCACTGCATTTTTCATAAGTTTTAAAAGAAATGAAAACAAGAAATTCAAGGTATTACTACAATTTCTATCAACAAGACAAAGCAGCTGGTTTTCTATAGAAAACAATTCCTGTCTAAATTTGCAAAATAGTACTGGGATGCAATATAGATACAATGATGCAATAGAAATTCAATTATTTATTTATTTTATAAGTTATTTCTCTTAGATAAATAAAACCAAATATTTAAAAGGATTGTGATTTTTTTAATGGTGGGAAAGAACAATATACAATTATCCAAATCAGTGAAATTCAAAGGACAAATAATATAACCAAGGACGCTAATACTGTATTGTCATTTACTTCTCCCTGTTTGAACACAACTTCTGTTACAGCAGGAGACTTGGGCAAAATAAGATAATTTCTGCCTTTTCTGCACCACCTCTTAAAATGCACCACCATCCCTATTCATCACACCTACACCTTCATTAATCATCTTCCTTCTAACAAGACCAAAGAAGCCCTTTTTATTGTGTTAAAAATCTGTCACAAGCCTCAGCTTGTTCTGGGCTTCACTTTCTCCAATGTATCATAGTCTTTCATTCTTCCTTCTTCTGTAGACCCTTCCCTCTTTTCTTCTAGTGGTCCTCCTTCCTATCAGCTAAGACTTTTTCCTCCTCTCTGATTAATGAAGAGTATAGAGGTTTGTCTGGAGGCCCTGTCACCTTTTCTTCTGGCACAGCTCTTTTGGAAGAGTTGCAAGTGTAGTTACCCTTTCCTCAGCCAAAAGAAAAACACAGCACACCCTTTCGGGGTCATTGAAACATTACCTTCAGTGTTCCTTTTCTCTAAACCTTTTGAGAACAGTAAGACCCCTAGATCTGCTGGGGATTGGTTTAAAGCCCCCCTGCGGATACAAAAAACTGTGGATAATAGCAGATTTTCAGACCATGGATAAGTGAATCAGGCTATACTGATCACGTGGATAAGGGGGCCCTACTGTACAAAGAATTAGAAGTTTGACAGGTTATGCAAAAGAAAAATTCAGAAATCTTACCTGTGCTATTGAATCTTTCTCCAGGTGAGCTCGAGAGCCACAAGCAATGGCCATCTGCTCCTAAAAGGTGAAAGCGTATTGTTATCACTCCATCTTGTGTACTCTTCCCTGGCCCCAAAATTATACACTTAAATCAGACTGATTTCAGTGGGAATAAATGTGTTCAGTGTTCCCCATATTATGCCCTTCATTTTTAAAAGACATAGCAATATTTGCTTGTCATTCAAAATTATCTTACTAAACAGGCATGAAAAAAAACACACCAAAAGGGTAAGTACTGTATAGACAATAATGCAGCTAAAAATAAAATAAAAGAAATGACCCAGGAAAACTCACAGGCCAAGGCTGAAGACTCTCAAGACCTTTTTCTACTTTTTCAATATCTTCAAATTTTGTGGCTCCATCTGCATCTGCCATGAGTATTTTTTTGCCTCGTGAACTGAAAACACCCTGTCAGCAGGAATAATTTAAAACCTTGTATGAGTATACATTCTGCAAACTTTGCTTCAAGACTACAAAAGTCATCTTACTTTTAACAGAGCCACCTTCTAAAATATTAGTATAATTCACTGAACTTGGGCAATACAAGCTGCAGTGTTCCTGTCCACCTCCACTTTTGCAAAATAACCAGTAGTCCTGTGCCTTTGAGACACAGTGTTGAAAAGTATACAACCAGCTTATAAAGAGGTCAAAATGAGGATCACAATGAAGAAATGCACAGAAGCCCAAGGGCTGTATTTTATATTGTAATGCTTTATTCCTATACTATGTTGCCCTACTTCCATAAGTCAAAAGACCAACATTGCTCTTTAACTTAAGCAGAGGTCAAGAAAAAAATTGGTGTGGGGCAAAATAAGTTCCAGATTCTGTGGTACTCTGGACAGCATCTAAATAAACTAATTCTTACAAGCTACACTCCTAAGACAATATCATGGCAATATTAATTTTCATAATAACCATACAACTCACTGTGGAAAAGACATGAAATGTAAAATTGTTCAAATAGCACCAAGGAAATAAACCCACAGGTTGTTGTGGGTTTTCCAGGCTGTTTGGCCATGTTCTTAAGGTTTTTCTTCCTAACGTTTCACCAGTCTCTGTGGCCAATTTCCTGAAAAGGACAAAAGCTGATCCCACAGCTATAAATACTCAGCTATCCAACAAACTGCAACAGAGCACACACAGACAGAGTTCTGACTCCTGTCCTCTGAAGATGCCGGCCACAGGGACTGGTGAAACGTTAGGAAGAACAACCTTCAGAACACAGCCAAATTTCCTGGAATACCCACAACAACCATTGGATCCTGGCCATGAAAGCCTTTGAGAATACAAATAAAACCACCATTATGTGTATTTATTTCAGTTTTGGTTACTTTCCTGCTTCTTCTCAATGCTCAAGATAGTTGGCAGCAACTTACAAAAAATAGCATACCAAACTAAATTTTCAAAATTCAGAACCTTGAAGCCATCCTATATCTGCTTAAAACTATCAGCTAAAATTGTTCTGTCTTATAAAAATGAATGCTATAAGGTATTTTTACATTTGAAAATACATGGCTATCAATAGACCAGTGTTCTTAGACCTTTTGACTTACTAATGTAAAATTAATTCAAATGCCCAAAGCACAACTCAGATAGAAAAACAATTTTTCTTTGATAAGAAAAAATAGTGATAGTTATAGAAAGGAAAACTGAGTAAATTTATTACCATCCTGACTGCTCCCCCCTTTCCACGATTCTTCACCAGAGTGAGGACTCTCACTTTGTCACTACCATATTTTTTAGTATATTTCAGTGCAACCTACAGGGCACACGTAAACCAGAATGAAACAGTAATCACAGAAGGGAAATGAATACTACTCTTTTCTTGTATATGTTCAGGATGTGAGATAAAACTATTAAACATGAACATGCTGCAATATACTGCCGCCCAGAGACCTTTGGGTAGAGTGGGCCACATATAAGTTATATAAATGAATAAATAATACTGTAATACATAAAATTTGCTTAGAAAACAAAGGTCAATCAGATATTGTTTTTTCTTTCCTCGTCACAAACTGCTCCCTTTCAGTCCAATATTTATTTACTGTATATATTTTAAAACTACACTTTAATTTTCAGGATAGAAGATAATTTGTAATTATGATGAAAACTAAAACACCAAAACCACCACTGCAGTAAAACAAAACAGTGGCAAACACAATAAAACAAACAGACATTGACAATTAAAGTGCCAGGACAAATTAAAGTGTTTGATCTGGAGCCAAAACAACTGCACCAGAGAGAGTACTTCATAACTGGGCTCTCAACTGAAAAAAAATGTTCATATAACATATTATAGTAACCCACTTGGGAAGCTATCAGTGTTATTAATGCTATGGGCAAGCTAAGAAGCATTTATGAACAATCAAAGCTGTCAAAGTAGACTAATATGGTAGAAGGCACTCATAACTATCAAAGGTCAAATGAGAGTGGTCGAGCAAGAAGTATCCTTCAAGCCCTGTGCCTGTTTCTCTGAGGGAAAAAAAACCTCATCCAAAACAAGCTGTACATCTACTTTGTGGAGAGGAAAACCACTTATTCACAGGACCTCTAGCTTCATTGGCTCCCATCCAGTCCAGTACTGACACACAATTCAGGGTGAACAATCTGTGGCCCTCCTCATGCTCCTGGATTGTAACTCAACAGCTATAGCCAGCAGAGCCAATGGAAATGAAGGATGACAGCTGCATCCTGATCACACCCAAATGGCTGTAAGCTACCCATACCCGAAACAAGGATAAAATAGATCCTAGTGGGATCTTCAACTCGGGGGTCGAGCAAAAATCCTTCAAGACTGAAAACTCGTTTTCAAGACTGAAAACTCCTCTAAACTTTTATTCTTAATGTGCTTCTACATTAAGAAGTTAATGTATTCTTCTTTTCAAAACTATGTGCTCACAAACCACCAAGAAACAAACAAAAATGTGATATGTCAATGCTATAACTGCCTTATTAACAAGTACGCAGAATACAGTATGTATGAAAACTGTTCTCACACATGTAAGCTAATCACAACCTTAATTACATGTTGTAATAAAGGTCTTCAACTGACACCTGAAGGCCTGTAGAAATGTCATTCTATAAGGATTTCCACAGTTTGGACATCATTACAGAGAAAGCCCCTTTTTTCTGACACAGTTCAGCTGGTGATAACAGCAGGCATTCAATAAGGTCTTGAGTCAAGCTCACAAAACAATAGCACCAGCAACTCAAAAACAGCAGTGAAAACATGAGGAGCTCCTCTGCGTCCACATTTTAAGCCTTCATTATCTTTATGGCATCATGCTTCAAAATCATGCTTCAGAACAAACCTAAGGAGCTTCCCCTTGAAAGACACAGACATTGCCTGTGGAACATTGGACGTCTCCTACCTTTGTGGTTTGATCTTTGCTGCCATCATCAACTACTATGACTTCATAGGTGAATGTGGGATCTTGCTTCTATTAAAGAAACAAACAAACCACAGAACCTGTGTGAAAACCAGTGTGGTAAAGTGGTTAGGGCAGCCATTCTCAATCTTTTTTCTTTTTGCCATGGCCATAAACACAATATGAAAGTAATACAGGCCAAATCAGGTTTGTGTAAGTCTCATCACCACAAGCCTTATAATGTGTTATGTGAAAAATTGTTTGTGGCCCCTTCAGATATACAATAAATACAGTTATTTGATACACTATCACATTATTTTATTCCAAGAACCAAAAGAGCAAAAAAGTGTTTAAGACATTTTCATCAATTCTTCTCCAACACTGACATGAGACACATTTTACCTGTCTCTTCTCTAGATAGTCTAAAGCTTCATTCATCATTGATGGCACTGTAAGAAGATGAGGGAGGGAAGTAAAACCAGAAATTGAGTAAAACCACATTAGTGACAAAAAAAATACAAAAACTCAGCAGTGTTAAAATAAGAAGACTAAGAAAACAAGGACTTATTCTTACACCGTTCTTCCTCGTTGTATGAAGGCACAACAACAGAAAGCTCACGTGTTGGGTGATCGTGAAGACTGGGTAGAGATTCTTTCTTATCTTCATCATTCAGAAAGAACTTTTCTTCCTCATGTCTATGAAGTCCATGCAACTTTGATGCACTTATATGCGCAATAACAACAGCCTAGAAGAGAAGACGAAAACAATTTCCAGTGATATTTTGTTAAGATTCTTTCTGTGTAAGAGCATTCTGCAAGGAGGAGAACATTCTGTTTAAAACTAGAAAAGAGAAGCAAAAATAGCCAAATGCAATTCAATTGGCTAGGGAATTCAGCTGCTTAGCTACAGCCCTCCAGTTGTGCATGAATAACTACTAAACAAAACATAGAACATGCTGTGGTATATCTTGCAAGCTTTACAATGTGGTCAGTGTCTGGCAATATCACACAAAAAGACCTAGTGCAGACATGGTAGCAGAATTTAGGTTAGGCTCTTGCACCCTGAAACCCACAAAAGAACTCAATGAACTTTCTATTTTGTGGTCTGCCTGGAACAATCAGACCAGGGACTTGGTCAAACACCTAGTAGGACTAAAGAGGCAGCACATGTGCCACTTGCATAGTAAGGGTTTGCAAACTGGACGGGAGAAAAGAGGAGCCTCCTACCTGCAGAGGTTCTCCCAGCTTGTTGAGTGCCCTGGGGAAAGTTCTCCCATATTCAGCATCCTCCCCAGGGCTACACAGAGAGATGATTTTCAAGGGAGGTGGAGAGTTTGCAATGTAATCTCTGATAAGTGGTCAGGGATGACACTGGGGAAGTGTTTTGCCTAGGCATCTCCTCTGAAATAGCGGAAGGCATTAGGGAGGCAAAGTCTCTTTAAACCAGAGACACTGGATATATGAATGCCTCTGTAGCAGGGCTCTGGGTTGGGAGCCTAGTTTCATTGTGCAAGCCTGTGCACAGTAAAGTTTATTGGTGACACAAACACACCTAGGCCAACCCACAGAAGGCTCACTAAGAGGTGTGCTTTTTCCCCTGCTACGGGTCAATGCAGATTTAGGCAAGCTCATGAAAAATAGGCCCATCTTTAGATTTCCAGAGCTCTGTTCGTCTATTACAATAAACAACAAAAAGAATCTTGGAGCACCTAAATAGGATAACATCTTGTGGGTGCAATGTGTATTAGCTAACTGACAATAACATGTCATACACTTGGTGAAGTGGATTATGCCAGTAAAAATGGATATCACAGTCAATTTGTTAAGCCTTTAATGCACCATAAGACTCGCCTTGATTTCCTTTTTAGTCACATATCAATTGATCTCAGCCCTTGATATACTGAAAAACCCTCTGAAATTGAGTTCTACTTTACACGACACAGAGATGACTGGCAGGTGAAGGAATGGCAGGTACACTGGTAGGAAAGAAATCTAACCCATAATGGAGCTTGCCATTCTAAAAACCCCAAAGCCTTGTGGCAATCTGGAAGTACAAACGATCACCACAACTCCCCAAAACTAGGTCCCCACAGGAAAATTGGACATATTAGAGGAACATTTTGCGCAAAGATGAACATGATAAAAGACAAAAATGGGAGGGACCTAACAGAAGCAGAAGACGTCAAGACGAGGTGGCAAGAATACACAGAGGAATTATATCGGAAAGATTTGGATATCCCGGACAATGCAGACAATGTAGTTGCTGACCTTGAGCCAGACATCCTGGAGAGTGAAGTCAAGTGGGCCTTAGAAAGCCTGGCTAACAACAAGGCCAGTGGAGGTGATGGCATTCCAGTTGAACTATTTAAAATCTTGAAAGATGATGCTGTTAAGGTGCTACATTCAATATGCCAGCAAGTTTGGAAAACTCAACAGTGGCCAGAGGATTGGAAAAGATCAGTCTACATCCCAATCCCAAAGAAAGGCAGTGCCAAAGAATGCTCCAACTACCGTACAATTGCACTCATTTCGCACGCTAGCAAGGTTATGCTCAAAATCCTGCAAGGTAGGCTTCAGCAGTATGTGGACCGAGAACTCCCAGAAGTACAAGCTGGATTCCGAAGAGGCAGAGGAACTCGAGACCAAATTGCTAACTTGCGCTGGATTATGGAGAAAGCCAGAGAGTTCCAGAAAAATATCTACTTCTGCTTCATTGACTATGCGAAAGCCTTTGACTGTGTGGACCACAGCAGACTATGGCAAGTTCTTAAAGAAATGGGAGTGCCTGACCACTTTATCTGTCTCCTGAGAAACCTATATGTGGGACAGGAAGCAACAGTTAGAACTGGTCATGGAACAACTGATTGGTTCAAAATTGGGAAAGGAGTACGGCAAGGCTGTATATTGTCCCCCAGCTTATTTAACTTATATGCAGAATACATCATGCGGAAGGCTGGACTGGAAGAAACCCAAGCCGGAATTAAGATTGCCGGAAGAAATATCAACAACCTCCGATATGCAGATGATACCACTCTGATGGCAGAAAGTGAGGAGGAATTAAAGAACCTTGTAATGAGAGTGAAAGAGGAGAGTGCAAAAAACGGTCTGAAACTCAACATCAAAAAAACTAAGATCATGGCCACTGGTCCCATCACCTCCTGGGAAATAGAAGGGGAAGATATGGAGTCAGTGTCAAATTTTATCTTCCTGGGCTCCATGATCACTGCAGATGGAGACAGCAGCCCTGAAATTAAAAGGCGCCTTCTTCTTGGGAGGAAAGCGATGACAAATCTTGACAGCATCTTGAAAAGCAGAGACATCACCTTGCCAACAAAAGTCCGAATAGTCAAAGCTATGGTTTTTCCTGTCATGATGTATGGAAGTGAGAGCTGGACCATAAAGAAAGCAGACCGCCGAAGAATTGATGCCTTTGAATTGTGGTGCTGGAGGAGGCTCTTGAGAATCCCCTGGACTGCAAGGAGAACAAACCTATCAGTTCTAAAGGAAATCAACCCGGAGTGCTCACTGGAAGGACAGATCCTGAAGCTGAGGCTCCAGTACTTTGGCCATCTAATGAGAAGAAAAGACTCCCTGGAAAAGACCCTGATGTTGGGAAAGTGTGATGGCAAGAGGAGAAGGGGACGACCGAGGATGAGATGGCTGGACAGTGTCTGCGAAGCAACCAATATGAACCTGACACAACGCCGGGAGGCAGTGGAAGACAGGAGGGCCTGGCGTGCTCTGGTCCATGGGGTCACGAAGAGTCGGACACGACTAAACGACTAAACAAAACAAAAAACAAAAAAGCCGGGGTAAGCGGGTTAAGTCTGTGCAAACACATTGTGGAAAATGCAAACAAACAAAAGACAAAAACCGGTTAGCACCTTAAGCTTTCGTGGATCACCTCCACTTCGTCAGACGTACGGAAACAGTGAAAGATCAATGACATACTGTACTATGCAAGTGGTACAGTATTTCATTCTGTTTCCATAAGTCTGACGTGGACGTGCCCACGAAAGCTCACAATAAAACATAAGTTAGTTTTTAAGGTACCACCGGTTTTTGTTTTTGGATTTTGCCTGATACTGAAGAAATCGTTGATCGTCGCAAACCCACCCATCGCCCCGTGCTTCCCCCCCACCCGGCGGAGCGTTGATTTAACCTCCTTCCAGGACACAACCCTGGTTCACAGACCACGAGGCAGGGCACGCTACCAATCTCCTCTCTCTCTCTCTCTCTCTCTCTCTCGGTCGAGCTGTTCCCTTGAAAAAACGAGAGGAAGAAGAAAAGGAGGAAAAAAAAGCCACCACCAGTGGCGACTCCCCACGTTTTTGCCCCAAGGGCTGTGCTCTTAAATTCCTAACTCTACTTTCACGCCCCGGCGCCGCCCCCTTCCAGGTTCAGCTCAGCAGCGCCCTCTCCGCCTGGGCGGACTAACTACCAGGGTCCAGCCGGAGGCGGTGATGGCGACGATGGGAGCTGCTGGTGGGTTCAGGTTAGTGGCGTTTCCTATGAAGGTCTGTAGCGGACTGGGAATCTCCCTCCCTCTCCCTGCCCACCCCACCTTCCACTCGTTCCCCCTCCCTTCTGGTCATTCGGTACATTTGCCAACAATAATAAAGCATATTCATTTCTATAACAGGTATTTTGTGTTCTGATTCAAACTTAACACAGTTTTTTCCTGTGAGAATATATGATAGCCAGAAGAGCGATAGATTCCGAGCAGTGGCCGGGATCCTACTGTATATTACAGTTCCAAGAAGAAACAAGGCAGAGTGGTAGAAAGATAGAGAAGACTGCTCACACTCCCTCTGGTTTTGGGGCTTTTACTCTCATAATTCAGGCGGGGGGAAGGGGCCTGGACAAATTATGGGACTAGAAGTCCTCAGACTCCAAAAGTCCCATCCCTATTAGCCACAGTACCTTCCACATGTACATAAGCACCCAATAGGATCACGGTGTAATTTCAGGATCAAACACGTGTCAGGATGCCCAGATAATGAGGGGCTGCTGCCTTAAGGACTTCTAATAACGCTGAATAGAGCGACAGAATATGATTCTGGACAACAGAGTCTGAATTGCTCAGCCATGGAAATTGAGCAGAGGAGTCGATAATTTGAATATCTGAAAACTCCACTGAAGTAAAGGGGAGGGGTAACCCTGTGGTCTAAAAAAATCCAAATGCAACCACTAAAAAAATCATCACACAATAAACGAGCTTTTGTGGATTAGAACACCACTTTCATCAAGTTTGTACCAATGTGAAATGCAGCAGATTTTAGCAAGATGGGTTTTGCCAGGCTTGTTCCTTGGATGGAAGCCAGGAGTCTGATTGTTGTTTTATGGTTACAGTTTAGGCAGCTGTGGAATGAGTATAACAACCCCATTCTCCAAACAAAGAAGCGTTGATCATGTGCATACTCACATACAGTACATAGTCTGCAAATCCCGTGAGGTACTAGTTCCCCTCTATTCAGCACTGGTTAGGCCTGATGTGTCCATTTGTGATTCAAGAAGGATGCCAACAAACTGGAGCAAATTCAGAGAAAGGCAACGGGACTGGAATCCAAGCTCAGTAAGGAAAGAGTGAAAGAACTAGGCAGGTTTAGCCTTGAGAAAAGGAGACCACCAAGAGGTATGATAGCACATTTCAAATACTGTTCACATGTATTTACTGTCATCCTTTCATTGCCTTAATTTGCTTCGTTTTCTGGACGTATCGGGACCCAGTGATATATGGGCAGTTTATGGACTTGGGAGGTGCTTTCTTGTAGCATTTCAGGGAATTACTCCCATCCTCCGAGTTGGTTACGAGCTGCCTGTGGAGTTGCGGTTAGGTTGTGGAAGTTGCCCCTGCAACCGTAATATTGAAAGCACAGAGTACCTGAAGTTGACCACAGATTGTCATGCGCGAAGTTATTCTGTAAAAATCTGTTGAGCTGCTTTTTCTCGACTTTGTCTTTACTAAAACAGTGCTACTTGTTTCAGGACTGTGGAGCCGTTGGAGTATTACAGAAGATTTTTAGTGAGTATGAGTTGCGTGTACATTTATATGCCTGATAACTCATATCTTCACAGCTAGGTCCCAATCACCTGTTAGGGACTGGAATCCAAGCTCAGTAAGGAAAGACTGAAAGAACTAGGCAGGTTTAGCCTTGAGAAAAGGAGACCACCAAGAGGTATGATAGCACATTTCAAATACTGTTCACATGTATTTACTGTCATCCTTTCATTGCCTTAATTTGCTTCGTTTTCTGGACGTATCGGGACCCAGTGATATATGGGCAGTTTATGGACTTGGGAGGTGCTTTCTTGTAGCATTTCAGGAAATTACTCCCATCCTCCTAGTTGGTTATGAGCTGCCTGTGGAGTTGGGGTAATGTTGTGGAAGTTGCCCCTGCAACCATAATATTGAAAGCACAGAGTACCTGAAGTTGACCACAGATTTTTGTGAGCGAAGCTTTTTCTCAGCTTTGTCTTTACTAAAACAGTGCTACTTCTTTCAGGACTGTGGAGCCGTTGGAGTATTACAGAAGATTTTTAGTGAGTATGAGTTGTGTGTACATTTATATGCCTGATAACTCATATCTTCACAGCTAGGTCCCAATCACCTGTTATTTCCCATGAAAAGATATGTAGGATAATCAGACTTGACAATGCAGTTGCACTGCTGCTCTGTACTAAAGAAGAAAGTCTGTTGCCTGTTGTGGTGGGAATTTGTTTCCAAAATCCCTTGGGAATGGAATGGATTGGCCCAAAATCTGCTTGTGCGTGTGGTTTAATCAATGTTATAGTTCCTTTGCTTTATACCAGGGAAGCACTGTGATTAGGGCCATGTGTTAACATAGTAGAAGAGATCATTACTGCACAAGTTGCAAGCAACAACTTTGTTTATGACCACAGGCCTTCATGATATACAATTAAGACAATATTTCCAGTTTAAAAACAGGTAATTATAATAGCTCATTGAGATGCTTATCAACAGTCCAATCATAATGTCCTTGTGAGGGTACAATGGGTTACAGAGCTAACATCAAATCTGTAAAATAGTAAGAGGATTAACACCAGGTCTTGAAAAGCTGCAAAACGTTCAAGCTAAGCTTGCATGGTTTGAGAACTGTATCCCCCTGCTCAATGATGTAATCCAAATCAAAGCATATCTGACACACAGTTGTCCAATTTTCTCTTGAATGCCTCCAATATGGGAGCACTCATCACCTGTCAAGGTAATTGGTTCCATTGTTGTACTGCCTTCACCACCTGCTGTCCTGACTGGGGTTTCTGGGAGTTGCAGTTCAAAAGCTTCCAAGTAACAAAGGTTAAGAACCACTGTATAGGGGACCAACGGTGCCTCTCCCACTCCTTCACACCTGCAGACACATTACGTTCCCACTGTTGAAGAGGCTCCTGCCTCTTGTGACATCACAAGGCCCCACACCATGACCTCACAGAGACCCATCCCTCGCATTGGACGCCAGATATAATGAGGGGATGGGGAAGATACTCCAATGAAAGCCCCTGACAAACAAGACAACACTTCAGAACCATTCCAGAAAAATACTTTTATTGGTTTTTGAAAAGAGACTAAGCGGGTATCCCGATCCTCAGTGGAGACAGCCCAGCTCAGCTCCAGCAGGATGCCTGCCTTCTGCTCCCTCGCATCCCCCTGGGGAAGAGGAAGCTCTGGGACCTGCAAGAGAGAGAAAAACAACAACTAAGGGGCGAGCTTGTCCACTGCCATCAACCGGCTTCAACCAGTTGTCCAATGTTCTGGCAACTTCATCCCAAAGTACTGCCTGCCAACATCCACTGGCTTCCACCAGGAATATCCACCCGTTCATCTCTTCCACTCCGCTTCTGAAGCCGGCCTCCGCCAGCTCCTGAATGCTTGGGTCACACACACACCCCGGCAACATCCCCATGGAATGCCAGCCAGCCCATTCACACACACATTGATACACAGACAGGCACAAACCAGCCGCTCCCCCCAACACACATGCACCTTCACTCCACCAGAGCCATTCACACACACGCCCGTGCTTCCATCCACCAATATCCACCAAGCTTCCCCAAGCTGGTTTGAGGACGCTAACATCCACCAACGGCTTCATCCACCAAACTCCGCCAGCCTCCACCTTGCAGCCTCAGCCAGCTTCCGCAGGGAGATGCCACCAGTTTCTGTCTGCCAGCGTCCACAGACTTCCCCCTCGGTCCATTGCTGACATCAGCCAGCTTCATGCCACGGATCTCCACCCGTCTTGAGCTGTTAACTTGCAAGCCCACTTAGAAAGTTCCTGTGCTTTTGGGAGAGAACTTGCAAGTTGGGCAGAAGGGCTGGGTCCCCTTCAGCCGTTCTCACTGCCTCTGCCGGACTGCCCACTGGCCTCCCTTCTGGTCTCCTGCCCTGCTCAGCAAGCCCCTTTTATCTGCCAGCAGAGAGGTGGGGCCCCTGTGAGGTCACAAAGACCCAGGAGAAAAGGGGTTGGGTTCCCATGGCAGCAGCAGCAGCACTCTCGGGATTGGCTGAGTCCTGAAGTTGATGTCAGCAGTCCCTCTGGTCATGTGATTCACCCACAAAAGCTTGCATTTTGCATGATTTTTTTAAAAAATTTTAAATTAGTGGCCTATAAATGTATCCCCTGTCACCAAAATCTCCCTGTGTTAGCCTTCTGACAGGATTCTAGGCTGGTGCTCCAAAAAGTTATATTCCAGCATTTGCATCAAAATGAACTTTTGTGAGACTGACGAACCAGAAAT